AGCTACCGTCATTTGATTGCGCCATTCTTATACTGCCTTATCGAAGTACCCACTGCTGAGTGAAGTACATCATCAATCATCTCTTACATAAATGTACGTATCATCCAACTAAAGCTCTTTTCAAGAGAGTTTTCCGATCATGATTTATCGAGAGCACGTTGTCAATCATCCTACTAATTGGGCCCAAGGAAAATTTTGTGAATTTGGTCGACTAGGGGCTCATATCATTTGCTTATCTGATCGAATCTGAGATAAAATTCAGTTCAGTTCCAATGGTGAAAGATTGAAAGCAGCCTCGTGGAACCAGAGAAAGATTTAACGACCATAAGAATGCCTTAATTCAAAACAAAGGTCGACAAATTAGTCAACGTTGTACAATGGTAGTTTTCTCTTGGGAACTGTATAAACTATAAGAAAAAGATTTTAACGTCGTGGGAGATAGAAGAAAAGTTTTCAAGACTGTAGGCATTATTTAGTCTGCTTACGTGATCTCTGTAATAGTTGGGGTAAAGTTTGGAAACTAAACAATACTCAGATAAGGCAATTGTTTTCCAAAATTATATTGGTACTAATAACAATTTTCGTTTCGTAATAGCTTCATGCAATAGAACATTTGCTGCTCAAGTGACCTATTCAACTGGCACCGCTCCGCGGTCTGTGGTAGCAGCCGATGTCAATGGAGACAGCAAACTCGATATTATTGTCGCAAACTACTTTTCAAACAACGTCGGTGTTCTCCTCAACAATGGCAATGGCACGTTTGCTACTCAAGTGACCTATTCAACTGGCAGTAATCCGGAGTCTGTGGCAGCAGCCGATGTCAATGGAGACAGCNGGACGCAAAGGTCATCAACTGTCCGAATTAAACCCCCCCCCCCCTCTTAAAAAAGTCACTTTTCGTCAGAATCAGGGAAATTGAGATAAATATATAGGGGGGGGGCTTAATTCGGACAGTTGATGACCTATACGTCCGAATCTTATGCTCTCTTATAGGGTCCCATTGTCATATGGCCTGTCCTTTGGTTCACAGTATCTTATACAATCTGACTATTGGAAGATGTCGGGCATTAATACATACTCCAAGACTTCAATCATAGAAATCATCGAGATGTATAAGAACTCGATTGAATCCTCTTTCAGAGCTTCGACTAAGGTTTATTTACGGTAGCATCGATGAAAAAGACGATATGAAAGATTGTTTCAGCGCCAAAGTTCATAAAGAATGTAATCAAATAAGTTCGCTATCTATTAAGACATAGTAAATGTAATAGTTCTATTATTAAATACAAATCATCACAAAAATTTTACAATTTAATGGTTGAAAGTCTAAGAATTGCTTTTTCCTTCAGTTTTACATAATATTCTATATTTTTCATAACGAATAATGACTTTTCAATCTCAACACAATATGTATACACATATAAAATAACTTAATTTGAAACCATTTAATCATCACGTATGTTGCAAGTAGGTAGAATTTGAGATAATTGTTATAACTCAACATGAACAATATATGTTGAGCCTTGAAAAGAAATAAAGTTTTGACGTCAGCATTCTCTTCATTATAAAAAGTAGCAAATTAGAAATTGGGGTAAATGTGTCTGTAACTATTTTTTCTTCGCCAACAAATTATTTTGAAGTAGTGAAAAAGATGTATTACATGAGGAAAAGTAAAAGAATCCTACGCATTTTTTTTCCATTATATAGTTTATAGACTAAAACAATTCACGTCATTCACTGAATGAGTTGAAGACAAGGAAACTATGCCTTTAGTGATAGATTGTATTAAACGTTAGTTCCTCTAACTAAATGAATTCATAAGTGATTCTAATGATGAAAGAATTATTCAAAAATGTCGGCATTTATCTAGAATTTACATCATCTTATTCATCACAATCCTCTGTATTATGGCGTTATATATATTAGCTCTGAAATAAAGACAATCAGTATTTTAATAGACAATCCATATCAAGCAACTTTTGACTTTTTGAATCTTAAGTATTTCAATACACTTAACTGTCCTCGTTTAAATATTGCTATGAAATATTCAACGTTTGTTGAAGTAAAATCAATCTATCACTAGGTATGAATCAGTAGATGATTTCATGAAGGTTATCCACTTTTTTTTATTGTGCATACTTTTTTCCAATGCTTTTGGAGATCGTTTATTTATAATTTTTGTAGTAAGATGAACTGTGATATTTTCTAGTAGAAGTTTTCGTCCAAAATTGAGTATCACCCGTTGCATAACAAAAAATTTCACAGGAGTTGTTACATAATTAAAATAATACCACAGAATTGAGTCACTTTAACTAGATATTCTAAGAAAGTGAGCTAGTCATTTTTGACATACATAATCGTTCGCATCGTACAGTACAAGTATGATCAAGTGGTTGTCATTAGATTTTGTGAGACACAATCTGAAAGGAGTGCTGGAATGTTTGGAATAAAAATTTTGGGCTCTCTACAACACAGGTTGTTATAAACAATCTCCATAGTGCTTACCAATTGTGACAGAATCTCCGAGCCCATCATAGACAGCGAGGAGAAAAGAAACTATGCAGTCATCCAATTAATAAATTTCTAATGAATAATTTCTTAGGTAACAATTGATCAGATATCATAAAATGTGGCAGAATGACTGGTTTTTTTAGAGCCTCAGATGATAGCTTAGTCACAAATGGATTGGTAAGAAATACAATAATAGAATTTTCATTTAATGACTAACAATTGATCTCTTGTGTTCCACATTTTCTATTCTACAAGGAATTGTACTAACAGCTTTTTCAAATGACTTGAATCAATAGAAAAGAAGTGAGGATAGTATCGCAACTCTGTATAGAAAGGTCTGGGAGCATCATTCTATCGAATATTGTTTTAATATTTATTGGAATACATTTCTTCCACAGAATACAAAGTAAGAGAAAATTTTAAAAACCTTTTGAGACTGCATGACTAATCTGCATTAGTTGTAATGTCGATTGAACTTTGACAGCCTTATCTTGTACATTCTATGTGGCTTATGACTCAGCAACCATCGATCTTTCATGTTTGTCTACGACTATGAAACGAGCGGATTAGATGCATAAAGGTACTACTGGGAAAGTGGAATACATGAATAAATATTGTTACGAATGATGTTTATCATAGAAAATCCGAAAAAAGTGACTGAAAAAATACAAAAGACATCCGTTTGTAGAAATTTGACAATATGTGTAAATTCGACGCATCTCAAAGTTTTACCATCGTCAGAGTTCGCCTTTATTAGCCATTCCGAATAAGACATAATCCAATTAACAGATACTTGCTCAATTGATTTCACCAGATTTCGCTCAATTTAAGATATGTTATAGAGGTAAGTATTCTAAGAATCTTCCCGAAAGATGTTTCAAAAAATATGCATCAGGTCAGTTTTTATGAGGATTTTATTGGAAGTTTGATATACAGAGATAGAACTGGTTACCGGCCGAACTAGTTCGGTACCTATCTTGAGGGTGTGGCTGTGCGTGTGCGTGTGGGTGTGGGTGTTGATTTTATTTGTATTGACACCCACATTCACACACCAAAGCGCAGAAAGAAAACAAAATATATCCCAAAGTTTATGCATAGCTCTCTAATTCTTCATAATAATGATCTTCATTAAGTCATTATATTATTTTAGTGATAAATACAGAAACATCAACATGAGAAGTTTTCACCAGTTACACGAGAGAAAACTAATAGAAACATGTATTATCAAATATTATGTTTAGAAAAGTCATTTTGAGAATATAAGAGACAAAAAATATACAATGTACAATGAATTACTGCTAAATGCTACATGTTAAGGTCCTTTTCCCCCAGTTTCTTTATTCCTTCTTTCTTCACAAAAACAAAACGAATGAATCAATCAAAAACACAAAGCAGCAAAGAATGTTGTTTCTCTCTTTCTCTCTTCTTCCAGAATGAAAGTACTATTGAGAAGAAGAATAAGAATGCCATTGAGGTGCAGTAATGATATCACAAGAACATAGAGTCTCCTTATGTCAGGAGAGACATCTTCTGACATAACACAACAATTCCAATAACTTCTTTCTTTTCTGAATAAGCAAATAGAAATCAACTATTCACTAACATTGATTTAGTATTTAGACTGGTACCTCATCAGAGTAACAGAGTTATAAATTTAAATTTCTTATCACTCAACATGTACTTAAGTCTTGTATACCGTAGTTAAGAAACAATATTTTAGATCAATGACTACACAAGCTAGTACTTACATTAGATGTCGAAACCAATTTATAAATTTCATCAGAAATCTGAACTTATACGATGAAGATGACCAGTTGACTTTGATTGGTCAGCTCTTATCTACACGTGTTTTCATTATCTCAATTTCTATCGCTGTTTTAACTACGTTATCATTTACTGGCATTATTCCTCAAACACGTTCCATTACAATATCTTTACCATCTGTCAATGATTTCGAAAAGATTACCAATAGTTACATGACTACAGTCGTGTGCCACTGTTATCAAACATCAATCCCTTATTCACAATTTGTGTCATTCAATCCACAATTTCACAAAGTTTGCTCAAGTGATCTTGTCAGTGAAGACTGGTTTTCCTCTTTATTCAATGTCAATACAATCAATTACTATCCTCTTGACTTTCGCTTGATGGCTTCTGCGCAATTCCAAGTTTTATCTATCCTATGTCGATTCTCACATCAAACTGTAAACGATGCTCTTAACCAATTTGCTGTAACAGTGTTGGTATAAACAAATGCATTGTCACGTGATGTATTTAATAGTTATATAGGCACGTCTATTGAACAATTCCAGAAAAAAGTACTGAACGATTCTCATTCATTGAATCATTTTGTATCATCTTTTATTGAAGAGCATCGTTTTATATCTGCGTTACGAACAAATTTCTATACACAAAGTATCCCTGGTAGTAATATTTCTTTAACCTTTTCTGCCATTTATCCACAACAAGTTAACCAAACTCAATCGTCAATGATGTCGAATGAAACATGCCGATGTGATCATACAAGTGATTGTGTTTATCCTGCTGGAATTTATAATCAATCAAAAGCTATTATTCCAAATGAGGTATTTTCACTTGATGAATCACCTGTATTCATTGTACCAGGATTTCAAATTGGATGTATACCTCAAAATGCATTACTTCAATCAACATTGGAATGCTTTTATAACCAATCATGTCTCGATATCGTCATTTCGTTAACTGGTGCTCTTCGCAGTGTTTCAGCTTTAAATATTTCAAACTCTTTTTCACGATTCAGTCCAAAAACAACTATTGGCGTCCTTTTTGATAATCTAATGATCGAATCTTGGGAAAACTCTACTGATTTTAATGCCTATTTTCATACTTGTGCACCCAAAGCCTGCTCATATTCATATTTACAACGGCTTTTTCTCATTTACATGATTACAACCATAGCGAGTGTCTTCGGTGGACTAAACGTATTATTACGTATAGCATCTCCATTGTTCGTGAAATTCATCATACATTTATGTCATCAACAGGTTCAAGTGGTAGAAACTGATGAAGAACATGAACCAAACAGAAGTAAAGTCAATCTCTACTTCCATATGTGTTTCTTGTTCATGTATGTTTTCCTTACATAGGTTTTCAAGATCGCATACAGAATTTGTTTAAGCTAATTCGTGATAAAGTTATTACATTCAATTTATTCAAGGAAACTTTCACTAATGTTCAACATGGGATTTATTCTACTCGTGTCTATATCATATTATTGATTATCGGTATTAACATCCTGACTATTTACTCTATTTCAATAGTTAGATCACAACAGATCATTGTCAAAAATCCAAGAGTGGATCAATTTGAACATCTTCATGACATGTATGCATCTGTTCTATCATGTTCATGTCGTTATTCATCAATTCAACGTTCAACATTCATGTCCATTGAAGTCACAATTCATCCATTTTGCAGAAGTATTTTTATTCGTGATGATCGTTGGTTCCAATATTGGACAATGCAATTTCTCAATGGTAGCATTGATCCTACTCCACCATTTTACTGGGCTGACTTTCGCAAGAACGGATTGAATTTTTTTAATTATGTTAAGATACTCTGTGACATATTTCATATAATCTTATCCGACATGGTGAATTCGTTTCAAGTAGAGTACATTTTCTCTCCTAAACCTATGGCACAACTAGAATTCAATGAAACAATCAAGTATCAGGCAGTTAATTTAATCACCCAGGTACAGTACAATGAAAGAAGATAGCTGAAAAAATTTTTCATACACTTTTGAGCACCTAAATTGGAAAGTTTCGTTCAACATTCCGACAACACAAAAGATATTTGTGATGCAATCGATATTCTAGAAATGGAATAAAAAACATAAGTAAATAAATCTGAAAAAGTAAAATCCCTTTATTCTACACTGTAAAAAAAAAGGTACTTTACCGAACCTTTTTTTAAGGTTCGGTAGATGACAAAAAGCTTGGAAATGTGCTCAAAGTTTCAAAGAGAGAATAAAAAAAATCCACGGAACCTTTAAAGGATCTTCCCCTGGACACACGGGAGAAACCTTTTTTCTTCGAAACCTTTTTAAGTTCCGTAGAGCAAAAAATAGGTTTCGTAGGGAAAATATGGAATCTTTAGGGTTTTGTATTAAACCTCAAGGTTTTGCACTGGGTTTCGTATAAAACCTTTCTATTTGTTGCGAAACCCTAAAGATTCCATATTTTCCCTACGAAACCTATTTTTTGCTCTACGGAACTTAAAAAGGTTTCGAAGAAAAAAGGTTCTTCCCGTGTGTCCAGGGGAAGAACCTTTAAACGTTCCGTGGATTTTTTTATTCTCTCTTTGAAACTTTGAGCACATTTCCAAGCTTTTTGTCATCTACCGAACCTTAAAAAAAGGTTCGGTAAAGTACCTTTTTTTTTACAGTGTAGTCTCACTGAAAACAAAATGTATCACTATATCTTTCATTTAGATTGGACCTTTGTATTGGAATAAAATACATCCAGTGGAACAAAGCATTCAAGATAGTGGATTACTTTCATTGAATTTTATTGATCGTTCTATGATACATAAGCAGATCAATAACACATGGATTCTAACGTATACTCCATGTAACACGGATATCCTTAGGCACTCAGTGTGTGAGTTTGGGCAAGTTTATAATTGTTTAAGCCTATTTGGTTTCTATCACTATTTCTCATCCTATGTACAAATGAATGCTGCACCCTATCAAATTATTCCTGGCCTATATATTGGCTGTCAACCATTAGATTTTACTTATTCTACACTAGAATGTTTTTACAATGAATCATGTGTTCAGATGCTGATAGATCAGCGTCTCTATAGCTATGAAAATGTCTATTCGCCAATTGATTTGAGTAATATAACATCACTTGATCCAAACGATCTCATCATGTCTAGACCTGAATATCCATTGATACTCTCCATTCAAAGCGGTTTTTATGATCAATGGATGTATATAGCAAATTATACATTGTACTACGCTCAATGCCAGCCAGAAATATGTGCCTATCTAATAGATCAGAAATTGCATCCTATTGCTTGTGTTAACTTAGTTATTGGGCTGATTGGAGGACTAACTGTTATTCTTCGTCTCTTAGCTCCGTCACTCATTAAAATTATTCTGTTAATTTATCATTTGTGCTATGAGCGAACACGAGGTGAGAAGGTTCTTTTCTTCCGACATTTGATTGTCATCCATTATTTTAGACATTCCTTTACGTTGGAGAAGGATTATTATCTATATTCGAGATGAAATTTATGGTATAAATATATACCGAAGAAAACGCGACGTGGAATATCAACACGTAGCAACAAGAATCTATATTGTTCTGCTTGTTCTATTTTTCGTCATTATTTCAGTTTTTGTCCGATTTCAGCATCGGACAATAGTAATAAGTGTGAATTCCCCAAATGAAACCCACTTTGCATTCCTTCACAGTCAATATTCTGATAGATTATCATGTCCGTGCACAAATACAGCTATTTTTAGTACATTTTTCTCAACCACATCAAAAACATATGAAGAAGGTTACTCCCAGAACATAGAACAAGTATCTCTCATGATATTATCATTACCAACACGCACACTCTGGGAAGAATCCGGTTGGAATCTCATCCAAGCACTATTGCCTATCTTATATTACCGGTATTTCGTCGAGATGCTGAATATAAATCAAGCTATATTTACTTGGTATAGGACACCCTTAATATCAGTGGAAGCAATGACCTTAGATATGTTTAATGCATGGTTTACCTCCTTTACAACTGGGATAGATAAGAAAGCTGACATCTCAGCAAATAATATTTATGAATGGACTTCTGATATATTTCAAGCAAATCAGTTTCATAACCGATATATGACAAGCTGGAAAACAGAATTTTCAAATTCAGATGAAAACTATATTCTTCGTAGCAGTGCAATCTTGTTGAACAATGACAATTGTTTTTGTCCAAGCGGGAAATCGAATTGTACAACGAGACTTATTTGTTACGATCCCGCTAGAAATTTCACTGAACTTCCAGGTAAACTATCTAATCGAGCCTTCTCATGCATCTTTCTCATTGTACATTCACTCATCAAGACTCTCAAAAATGTCTATGATTAAAATTTGATAGTAGAAAAACTAAATTCCATATTAATGATATTTCATTTATTTAGGTTTTGTGATTGGATGTTCAATTGTGAGTAGTCTTTTACAGTCGACATTTGAATGTTTCTATGATGATGTTTGCGTCAATCAGTTAAATAGAGCCTTAGGTAGTTCATTCACTAAGTTTAGTCTGAATGCCACGCAGATTCCACCAACGACTCCTATTGGATCGATTCCAGATGATTATCTCATAGCGTCTTTGAATATTTCAGCTAATTATTCTGCGTATTTTCAAACATGCGCTCCGTCAATATGTCAATATCATTATATCGAACAACATAATATTCTATATATATTCACAACACTACTTGGGTTATATGGTGGATTAACTGCAGGTCTATATATTTTCGTCTGGCATTGGTTGCGTCTTTACCAATTCATTTTCAATCGCTGGCTGATTTCGTCGCAACGTGTACATTCTGTATCCTGAAATTGAATGAGCCATTTACGATATGAACAATACTTCTTGCTCAATTCATTAAATAATATGCATTTTCGATGTAGTTTGTCTTCTCTAGGTTTTCCCATGTATGAAATTCAACAACTGAGGTTACTGTCGATGCTTTGATTTGTTTTTCGAGGAAAAATTATTTGTCTTCATTCATAGAAGAACTTATTTTTATGATACCTTGGGTGAATCTATGGAAAACGTACCCCACTCACATGGACTTTCTCAGAATTGTCTGAAACTTTCAGAATTTGTAGAGCTCACTGAGCTGATTATTTTTGGCGATAAATAATTCAAGGCTTGAACATACCATTGGGTTAAAACGAGTAAAATACAAGTTTTTAAAAATTTGGGAAAATCATATTTTAAGAAAAATGCTACTACTAGTTTCATCTTATCTCAAGGGAATCATCAGGTAGCTTTAGCACTGCATAATTTTCAACAATTAAATTGAAAAGATTTACATCATCTCACGTTTAATAGAAGAAAATTAAACAAAGCAGAGAATTTTTAGAGGGTGTGGGTGTAGGTGTGGGTGGCGGGTGTGGGGTGTGAGTGCAGAATGACAAGAATACATCCACACCTACACCCACACCCACACCCCACCCTAAATAAATATCTATCTCGCAATATAGAATTTTCACTGTTGCTTTCTCACTATTTTCTATAATTATTCGTAATAATATCAGAACTATTCCTATACTGATCATATTTTAGGTATAAGAGAGTAGTATGATCTCATACAACCTATAGCTGCCAATAATTTTTTCTCGATTTTTTATTATCATTTAATAGCATTTGAAAAGAGCTATCGATTGATATATAAACTAACTTGACGGTCCCTTTCTTTAGTTGAAGATGACTTCTCTCTATTCCCAATCATAATGTATTCTTATTGACCTTTGAGATCGTAAAGTATTTATAAGGCTTTGTGCATGAAAGTCGCATCGTATCGTATCGATGTGATTTTGTTATTAAAATATTTCTTTCAACTAATAGTAGTATTTGGCAAGAAAAAATTGGGATTTTTGAAGGGGGCCATTTTTCAATCAAAACGACTCTCCTACTTTACCAATATGTCTACCTATAGACTTAAGATAAAAAAGCTTTTATTAAAATTATAAAAAGAACATAAGTTTTGATTTATTTCAATTTAATTGAATAGAATAAACAAATTCGTCATATTAATTCATGACATAGATTGGACATGTATTTCACTCAATAAGAATAACTTTTAATGAAAACAATCAAAATAATCTGATGGAAATATTCATTTTAATCAGTGATATTGAAATAAATCATAAATGATGTCTTTGTTATCATGAGAAGGGTGTAATGGTGTGAGTCAATGTATGGGTGTGCGTATATGGAGATGGGTGTATGAATGTGTGTGTGCATGTTTGTATTATGTCTACACCTGCATCCTATATCAACACTCGAACCCTACACCCCCACCCACACCCTAGTGAAGGAATTGAGGTTAAAGATGAATAAAACTTTATTAGATATCTTTTCAGTGAATAGAAAAAAAATGGCAAAGCATGATCACAAGAAATAAAATAATTTCTTTTGTTGATGATGAAACGGACATGATTTCTGAATCTTTTAAATTCATGGAAATCTTGCCGTGAAAAGAATGAATACAAACAAACTTTTATTGCACTTGATGTAAGTACTGGGTTAATAGGGTAGCTTTTGTCAAACTTATTCTATACTCCTTGGTTGATTGCCGTGCGAGCTTTTATATCATCGAGTTCCTAAGATTTGATTTTTTTATTATATCCTCTTCTAAAAAGGCATGCATAAGCAATGAGTATAAAACTATATAATCAGTTCAAGAAAAAGAACAGCATGACTTGGTTTTTGCCAGAACATATATTCTCTATTGAAAACGTCTTGTGCCTAACAATAGTTCTACGGATATGATTCGAATCAATCACTGGCATCATTCTTTTCCAAAAAGAATAAATCATGGTATATCACGTCTTTGACATCAACGTCATTGGCAGTAATTCATTCTACTTTAAATAAAGAATGTAATTTTGGAATCTCCGGAAAACCTATGAAAACTAAGTAATTCAAATGCAAAGGAAATAAAATCAATCTAAAGACTTTTCTTTTTCGATATAATCAAAG